ACAAAGGACAATAACTTTGTAATTACTTTAGATAGAGTTATGGTTCTTGTGCACTGCACTTCCCCTTATTGTGTTTGACAATTGTATGAAGTTGTTTTTAATTCCAACCAGTTGTTTTCAAGTTATGCCCCGGGCAAGGAAAAGTAACAAAGGGCAATTACTTTGTAATTAGTCAAGATGGAGTTATGGTTCTTGTGCACTGCACTTCCTTTCAATGTGCTTGACCATTGTATGAAGATATAATGAATTCCAACCATTAGTCTTCAAGTTATGGTCCGGACAAAAGAAAGCAATGGAAAAGTAACAAAGGGCAGTAACTCTGTAATTACTTTAGATAGAGTTATGGTTCTTGTGCACTGCACTTCCCCTTATTGTGTTTGACCATTGTATGAAGTTGTTTTTAATTCCAACCAGTAGTTTTCAAGTTATGCCCCGGACAAGGAAAAGTAGCAAAGAGCAATAACTCTGTAATTAGTCTAGATAGAGTTATGGTTCTTGTGCACTGCACTTCCTCTCAATGTGCTTGACCATTGTATGTAGTTATATTGAATTCCAACCATTAGTCTTCAAGCTATGCTCCGGACAAGGAAATGCAACAGACGTCTGGACCGACCGCCCGACAGACCACCGGGTGACTCCTATATACCCCCCAAAAACATTACACTGGTCTAGTTTTTCCAAAACTGCCCTAAGTCTAGTGTCATGTTCGGCCTCTGTCCGTCCGAATATCGGGACATCATCTGTTTGGCAAAGAACTCATTCAATGCCCTCAAGTATTTGAGACATCCGTTTTTGGAAGTATTCAGAACTACTAGATAACCCCATTGGTAAGCGATTAAACGCGTATCTACCAAAAGGTGTGATAAATGTAGTCAATAATTTACGTTCTTGAGCAAGTTTAATTTGCCAAAATGAACTATTAGTGTCTAATTTTTGAAAAATATTTTGAATTAAATTGAGATTCCTTATAACGGTTTGTGAGCACTGAACATTTTATGACTGATTTTTGAAACATCTTCTATTTCTTTGGCAGATTTTGATACATTATCTCCAAAAAGATATTTAGTAAATGGTCTACTATGATTACAAAGATGGTAATACTCTTTATTTAACTGTGGTTTTAAAAAGTCTTTGTGTGTAAGATTGATCTGCTTATTAGCATGCCCGTGCATCATCTATTATTGGACTGATTTCTTTACCTTCCTCTGTCTTTTCTGAATCTGCCATTTTATTTATTGCTTAAGCTAATTTTATTGCAGATTTTACAACTGATGATTCTATAGCCTGCATTTTCTTGTCGGGTTTTCTTGCAACAGGTGACAATGTATCCCATATTATTCGATTTGTTTGCACTACAACTAATGCTTCACAATTCATTGGGCATGCTGTATTCTCGTCTTAAATCAGTTCATTATATTTCTCTTATTCGAATACATGCCAAAATAATTCATTTATATTGTTCGCCAAAACTGTATCTATTTCCTGATCACATTTCTCAGAAGTTTTGAATCTTTTTGTCATTGAATGAAATTGATTACTTCCATCTACTTCACATACTGATCTTTTAGATTGTACACCATGGCATTCTTCATTGTCAATATTGGTAGCCATTTGTTCATTCACAGTGTCATCCTGTATCTGTGTTTGAGCATTTTCTTGCTCTGTTGCATCTACACAAACCACATTGTCATCAATGAAATATGCATATCCAGCACCATCATAATATAAATTTTCTATCTTATCAGTGTTCTGCATTGTGCACATTTTTTGAGAAATGTCTTGCATTTGTTTATTTTGTTCACTAAACTTTTTTGCCTGATCTGCCAATAATTTATCATGTTGGCATATTTTTTCATGAGTTTTATTCAAGGTAGCTTGTAAAACAGCTATTGCACTTAAAATTGAACTAGATGTATCCGTTAATCTTTGTCCGGTATTTTTCATGTGACTTGAACAAGCACTGTTTTCGGATGATTTTATATTAGTTTTTTTCATATTTTTCGAAGGTAGTTTTCCTTTACTACCGCCCTTTTCATTGTGCTTCTGGTGATGATTCTCGGTCATCCTTTTTCAATCACAATATCTCAATCTACGATCAATTAAATATTCTATCATTTCACACAACGTGAAATTGCTCCGCCATTGTGAAAGTACTGTTCCGCGCATGCGCGTACATCTCATTTAAGCGGAATGAAGTTCTTTTTGAGAAAAAGAATTCTAAGTTCAATGGGAGATAAATCTGAAAATATTGGTGCTAGAGTTATGAACCTTGTCGCATAAGATGTGGTTGATAATAAGGAACATGTATTCGATACCTTAAGAAATGAAAAATTTATTGTGAAAAATATTTTACTAAACAAAACTTTAATCTGAAATCTGGACGCGGACGACAGGGGGGAGTATGACAGCTCTCCATATACTTCGTATAGTCGAGCTAAATCCCACAAGCAAAACCCCAGGTGCACAAAAAGTTTCATGACTTTTGAGCTATGTGCGACACAAGTTGAAAATTTTTACTACGTCAAGGGCAATAACTGACAAAACAGAATACATCCACAAGAGAAACAACAGGTGCACAACTTCACATACAAATCAACATTCCTGTAAAGTTTCATGACCCTAGCTCAAATATTTTTAGAGCTACATGCGACACATTTGAAGTGGAAAATTGCAAAGGCAATAACTCTTACAAAACAGAATTAATCCACAAGTGAAACCCCAGGTGCACAACTTTACATGCTGAGCAACATTCGTGTAAAGTTTCCTGACTCAATTTTTTTTAAAGTTTTTACTATATACATATAAGGAAAAGCAATGACCCCCTGGGGCGGGGCCAATTTTCACCCCAAGGCTTTTATTTGAACAAACTGGGTAGATACATGTACTCATTAGAACATGTTTCATATCTAAGCTCTAGCTCTTTGGTTTTTTGTGCCCCCACTATACTTACAGGAATGTTGATCAGCATGTGAAGTTGTGCACCTGGGTATTTTCGTGTGGATATTTTTAGTATTTTTAGAGTTATTGCCCTTGACTTAGTAAAAATGTCCTATTTCAACTTGTGACACACGTAACTAAAAAAGTATTTGACCTAGAGTCATGAAACCTTACAAGAATGTTGCTCAGCATGTGTAGTTGTGCACCTGGGTATTTTCGTGTGGATATATTTAGTATTTTTAGAGTTATTGCCCTTGACGTAGTAAAAATTTCCAATTTTCAACTTGTGTCGCACGTTACTCAAAAAACAGAAGATGTTTCATGTTTCATATCTATGCTCTAGCTCCTTTTGTTTTTTAAAAGACGATTTTTTAAGTTTTTACAATATACATACATGTATAAGGAAAATCAATGAACCCCCATGGCAGGACCAATTTTGACCCTAGGGCTTTTATTTGAACAAACTTGGTAGATACTTACTAGAAGATGTTTCATGCCAAATATCTAAGCTCTAGCTTTTTGGATTTTTTAAATGAAGATTTTGTAAGTTTTCTTTCATTTGCCATGACAATAAGAGTTCTGCATGGAATTAAATTCTTTGAACAATTCTTAAAGGTGACCACCAAAGGAACATTCCTGTGTAGTTTGGATGAAATTGGCTCAGTGGTTCATGAGGAGATGTTGTTTAAAGTAAGGGTTTACAGGACAAATTGTAATCACAAAAGCTCACTTGCCACTTTGTGACAGGTGAGCTAAAAAACTATAATTTATAGATCGTTTAAAACACTTTAGAAATAAAGTTTCTATTGCTCCTTTTCTACATTGTACATTGTTTTGTCTAAGTATGAAGATAATCCATCTCTTAATTACCAAGTTACAGTCAATTAAAGCAAATATCAAAGTAAATTCAATATTTTAACCTTCAAGGTCAAGGTCATTATAAGGCCAAGGTCAATTTGAGTTTGATATACATTAAGGTCTTATCCTAAAGAATGTTCTGTTACAATAAGAAGTCAATCCATTACATAATAACAAAGTTACAGACAGTTACAGCAAAACAATGAAAATTTCATTAATTTGACCTTCAAGGTCAAGGTTATATATGAGTGAAGTCAAGGTCAGTCTGTTTAACTTAAATGGCTATCCTTTAAGATTATAATATTCAAGTTTGAAGACAATCCATTCGCAAATAAAGTTATAGCCACCTATACCAAAAATCAGCGAAAAACAAGCAAAATTTAGACATTTAACCTTGAAGTTCAAGGTCATTTATGGATAAAAGTCAAGGTTAGTCTGGTTTACTAAAAGGTATTGTCCCAAGGGTTGTTGTGGCCAAGTATGTAAAAAATACACCAAGAACTTAAAAAGTTATGATCAACATACAAGTTTGTGAACGGCAACGGCAAAGGCAACGCTGACATGACTAACAATACCTCTACTTTTTTTTTTCAAAAAAAAGTCAACAATACCTCTCCTTTTTTTCCAAAAGAAGTCAAGCTAAAAACCGTTGTAAAGAATAAGAAAGAATGCGGAAATTATTGTACAGGGGTAGGCTAATTGAAATTATCTGTTTCATTCCTTAGATAATATTAAAATAACTTTTCGGAATGTAGGAAACATTAAATATAGGCAGGCGGGTGGACAGACAGACAGATTGAGGGTAAAACTAAAGCCCCTCCATTTCAACTGGTAGGGGACTAGACCTGAATTATTGGCAATACTTGTACATGACAACACAACATGGCAGAGTGCGCACTGTGTGATGTCATTGCTAGAGCGTTAGGAGTGAGAAACTGTAGACCATCCCCCTTATTTCCTAGACATAAGTCCCTGTGACTTTGACCTTTTTCCCAAACTGAAGAACATGACGGGTAAAATGGGAGGGTAAATTTCAGCGAAAGTCTTGGCATAAGTATGTAAACAGAATTATATATATCGGTAATTATGAGAAGTTGACAGATTAATTGTTCAATGATTTTGGCAGCTGCCAGTGCACTGATGCTTCAGAAAATTCTTAACAATTAGTACATCTGGACAAAGTAAATCAAAAACCAAGAAAAGCATAAATGTAAAATTTTTACGTTTTACACACTTCTTAACAATAACTTTAGACTCGCTAAATACACTTGATCTATATATGTGAAAAATAATTGCAAACAAGTTGTTGTTTATCATTAGTGGAAATCATATTCACAAACATTTAATAAATTATCCCACTACAGGAGTCTGGAATGACATGGGTATCCAAGTTTTGACTAAGGAAATGCATGCATTTAACCCGTGATAAAATCCGCCCACAAGTTAATTTGCAATGTGGGTTTTTTTAGTTTTTTTTTTAGAAAAACTTTTACAAATAAAGTATTGATTCAGTGTGAAACAATTAAAATATTGATTCAGTGTGAAACAATACAAAACATGCTCTGTAAATCCAGACTTCCCAAAGTTAGAGTATAATGGTACTCAGGTTTAGGATACACAGCAAAATTATTGCATATTAAGTCATTAATATTTTTCTTTTTCTTCTGTTGGCATGTTGTTGTTGAAAATGGATCACAGTGATCTATTTTAAAATCTGCTTTTGTAACTTCTTAAACTATTATCCACATATTTTTGCATGTACTCCAGTTCGACAATTATAGTTGAAATAAGAATTAAAGAAAAACAAGAGCCATGTCAACATGGCCATCCCCTGCCGAATGGGTTTGCTCATTGGAAGAATGTATATGTAGTAGAGCAGAATAATTCAATTTTAAGAGGTCTTTTGGTAATGAAAACTAATGGCTGAAGTGATTACAGATTTGAACCTATATGACTACTGATGGCTGAAAATAACAAAGGGCAATAACTGCAAAATAATGCAGGGTAGGTTATCATTCTTGTGTGCTGCACCCCTCCTCAGTAAAATCTATCCACCTATGAAGTTTCAAGTTGATACCTCAAATACTTTTTGAGATTAGCTCCGGACAAAATAGTATGAAAAAGAACAAAGGGCAATAACTCCAAAATTATATATACGGAAGAGTTATCATTCTTGGGCACAGCATTCCTCCTCAATAAGATCTATCCACCTATGACATTTCATGTTGACATCTCAAACACTTTTGCATTATGCTCCACAAAGGTGAAAAATTATGTATGAAAAATAACAAAGGGCAATAACTCAAAAATTATGAAAGGTAGAGTTATCATTCTTGTGCACTGCACACCTCCTGAGTGAGATCTATGCACCTATGAAGTTTCATGTTGATATCTCAAAGGCCTTTTGAGTTATGCTCTGGACAAAAATTAATTTTGAAAAATAACAAAGGGCAACAAGCATTTGATAGTATTGCGGGCAATACAGTAGTCCCCTACCGGTCCCTCAAAAAGTTCTTTAATTGTCATACACTCCTGTGTATTGCCATTTATAATGAATTTGAGGATGAAGTCTGTATTTGAAAATATCAACCACAAAACATAATAAAATAAGTTTGTCTATATCACAGTAATGTGTTAAGTTTCCATGCTTAGTAAGGAAATTATGTTTATACAACCTTGTCATATTATTACGATGTGGGATTTTAAAGTAAATCCTATAAGGAATGAAGAAGTTGGAGTGAAAATACCAGTTTCTCGAAAAAAATCTAAGTTAAAGGGGGACATAATTCTGGAAATAGTCTTGCTAGAGTATTTAACCTTCTCAAAAATGTCGAGTGATAATAAGAAACATATATATGAAGTTTGAAGTAGATACATTAGGAAATAAAGAAGTTATTTAAAAAAGACAACATTTTTTCCCCTAAAAAATCTAAGTTCAAGGGAGGTAATACTGATATTTTTTGTGCTAGAGTTATAAACCTTGTCACATATGATGTGGTTGATGACCAGAAACTTATATTTAAAGTTTGAAGTAAACACCTTAAGAAATAAAGAACATATAGTGAAAAAGCTGAAAAATTTAAATCAGAAATCTTGAAATTCAGGCTATTTGTTGCCATAGCAACCAGAATTTTCAACATAAGAAGAAAAGAAAAAGATGTGCATAATCTCCAGACTGCCATCTACCCATATTTCAAGTTTCATAAAAATATTTTCAGTACTTTTTGAGTTATCACTGGATCCAGTTTATGTGTTAAATTTGCCATATTTTCAGACTATTTGTTAATATTTAAAAAAATCTAAGTTAAAGGGGGACATAATTCTGGAAATAGTCTTGCTAGAGTATTTAACCTTCTCAAAAATGTCGAGTGATAATAAGAAACATATATATGAAGTTTGAAGTAGATACATTAGGAAATAAAGAAGTTATTTAAAAAAGACAACATTTTTTCCCCTAAAAAATCTAAGTTCAAGGGAGGTAATACTGATATTTTTTGTGCTAGAGTTATAAACCTTGTCACATATGATGTGGTTGATGACCAGAAACTTATATTTAAAGTTTGAAGTAAACACCTTAAGAAATAAAGAACATATAGTGAAAAAGCTGAAAAATTTAAATCAGAAATCTTGAAATTCAGGCTATTTGTTGCCATAGCAACCAGAATTTTCAACATAGGAAGAAAAGAAAAAGATGTGCATAATCTCCAGACTGCCATCTACCCATATTTCAAGTTTCATAAAAATATTTTCAGTACTTTTTGAGTTATCACTGGATCCAGTTTATGTGTTAAATTTGCCATATTTTCAGACTATTTGTTGCCATAGCAACCAGAATTTTCAACATAGGAAGAAAAAAAAAAAGACGTGCATAATCTCCATACTGCCATCTATCCATATATCAAGTTTCATAAAAATATTTTCAGTACTTTTTGCGTTATCACGGGATCCAGTTTTGTGGACGGACGGACTGACGGACTGACAGACAGACAGACAGACGGACAGACAGACGGACAGACAGACAGACGGACAGACGGACGGAGGGTAAACCTAAAGTCCCCTCCGGTTAAACCGGTAGGGGACTAATAACTCAAAAATTATGCAGGGTAGAAATTTCATTCTTGTGCACTGCACTCCTCCTCAATGAGATCCATTCACCTATGAAGTTTCAAGTTGATACCTCAAATACTTTTTGAGATAAGCTCCGGACAAAATAGTATGAAAAAGAACAAAGGGCAATAACTCAAAAATTGTATAGGGAAGAGTTTTCATTCTTGTGCACAGCATTCCTCCTCAATAAGATCTATTCACCTACGACATTTCATGTTGACATCTCAAACACATTGAGTTATGCTCCACTCGGATGAAAAATTAAGTATGAAAAATAACAAAGGGCAATAACTCAAAAATTATGAAAGGTAGAGTTATCATTCTTGTGCACTGCACACCTCCTGAGTGAGATCTATCCACCTATGAAGTTTCATGTTGATATCTCAAAGGCCTTTTGAGTTATGCTCTGGACAAAAATTAATTTTGAAAAATAACAAAGGGCAATAACTCAAAAATTATGCAGGGTAGAGTTATCATTCTTATACACTGCACTGCTCCTCAATGAGATCCATCCACCTATGAAGTTTCAAGTTGATACCTCAAATACTTTTTGAGATAAGCTCTGGACAAAATAGTATGAAAAAGAACAAAGGGCAATAACTCAAAAATTATATAGGGAAGAGTTATCATTCTTGCGCACAGCATTCCTCCTCCACCTATGACATTTCATGTTGATATCTCAAACACTTTTTGAGTTATGCTCCACTCAGGTGAAAAATTGTGCACTGCACTCCTCCTCAATGAGATCCATCCACCTATGAAGTTTCAAGTTGATACCTCAAATACTTTTTGAGATATGCTCCGGACAAAAATGTCGGACGGAAGGATGGACGGACGGAAGGACGGAGACTATTTCTATATTCAAAGGCGGCGGGGGATAATAAACATGAGATTTATAAGTAGAATTGGTCTGAGAGAAAATTGTCCGTAACTCAAACTGTAGACTTTTTTGTGCTAACAACAAAAGTGAAAGAAATTAAAATATTTTTTTTCAAGCAAAAGCATGACAATGGATGTCTAAACAAACTTAATTCTATGTTAATTCCTATTATTATCTGGCACTTAATTTAATCAATGTCATTTACGGGAGTTACCTCCCTTGTGTACTTCCTGCTACTTTCGTTTTTTACATGGGCTGTTGACAACAGAATTTTTAGTTTTCATTGCAATGAAATAGAAATATTATATTGTATTTTTATGCTCAAAACATCCCCTTTTCAATTTCAAATGTTTACACTTTTATTCTTAACGCTTGTGTTTTGACATACAAGCGTAGTTGTTTTGTTGTGTGTAACTTTGACGCATGAATATTGAAAATGATGCGTATTTTAGATTTTACTATTCGTATTTCACACAGATACGCATGCTATCTGGAGCTCTGTAGGTGAATGATTGGCCTTTGCAAAATGTTTAATGTTATGTTTTTATTAAACCTTAAATTTTTACCGGACCGTCGGGCCGCCGATACATATAATTTTATCGGACCTTCTGATTTTTTATCGGTCAGGGCCGACGGTCTTTCAGAAAGACTGTATTAATAAGATCAACTAGTAGCTTCTCTTTTCATATGATTGTCTTACATTTGTACAAGGGCATTTTCCACTGTGCCATTTATTTTGGAGAACAATATGGCAATTTCCAAACATACTCATAAAGGTTTGTAATCCTTTAGAAAGATTCATAAAGAACAGTAAAAGTCTAAATCTTATTACAAAACTATCATAGACTCCCGCAAAAGAAAAAGTCCTATCCTCACCTATTCAATCAACACAAAACACTCCATTTAAAAGTTTTCTGCATTTAATCCTTCTTTAAATTATTTCAGAATAGATTCTGATGGTCAATGGTTTCATGATTTATCAGCTGAATTGTTTGAATTAATACTTTCAACTTCATCTGAGACTTTGTTAATAACTGACTTGTATCTCCAACGCATCCAAGTTGCTTTTGATCTGTCCCAAAATGCTGAGAAAGAATCATAGGCAGGTCGCACATCAAGCAGAGTAAACTGGTAATTTTCTTTATTTACTTTTCCACCATCGTAATAATCTATAATGTATCTAACATCAGTTCCACATCTATCAACAATCCAATCATGTCTATCAAAGGGCATCTCGTACCTAAAACAAGAAAAACAAGAGCCATGTTAATATGTCCATCCCCCGCCAAATGTGTTTGCTCATTGGAAGAATGTATATGTAGTAGAGCAGAATTATTTAATTTTAAGAGGTCTTTTGGTAATGAAAACTGATGGCTGAAGTGATTACAGATTTGTGAATACTGATGGCTGAAAATAACAAGGCGCAAAAACTGAAAAATAATGCAGGGTTAGTTCTTGTGTGCTGCACTCCTCCTCAATGAGATCTATCCACCTATGAAGTTTCAAATTGATACCTCTAATACTTTTTGAGATGACATCTTAAAGATTTTTTATGCTCCAATCAGGAAAAAAATAAATATGAAAAATAACAAAGGGCAATAACTCAAAAATTACGAAGGGTAGAGTTATCATTCTTGTGCACTACACACCTCCTGAGTGGGATCTATCCACCAATGATGTTTCACGTTCATATCTCAAAGGCTTTTTTTAGTTTTGCTTTGGATAAAAATTAAGTATGAAAAATAACAAAGGGAAATAACTGAAAAATAATGCAGGGTAGGTTATCATTCTTGTCTGCTGCACTCCTCCTTAATGAGATCTATCCACCTATGAAGTTTCAAGTTGATACCTCAAGCTCCGGACAAAAAGTATGAAAAAAAATAACAAAGTGCAATAACTCAAAAATTAGAAGAGTTATCATTCTTGCGCATAGCATTCCTCCTCACTAAGATCTATCCACCTATGAAGTTTCATGTTGACATCTCAAAGACTTTTTGAATTATGCTCCACTCCGGTGAAAAATTATGTATGAAAAATAACAAAGGGCAATAAATAAAAAATTATGAAGGAAGAGTTATCATTCTTGTGCACTGAACACCGCCTGAGTGACATCTATCCACCTATGAAGTTTCATGTTGATATCTCAAAGGCTTTTTGAGTTATGCAATGGACAAAAATTAAGTTTGAAACATAACAAAGGGCAATAACTGAAAAATTATGCAGGGTAGAGTTATCATTCTTGTGCACTGCACTGCACTGAAGTTAATACCTCAAATACTTTTTTGAGATATGCTCCCGACAAAAATGTTGGACGGAAGGAGACTATTTCTATAGCTATTATCATAGTATTGCAAGCAATCCATAAGTCCCCTACCGGTGAGAACCCCAGCAACATTCTGAATGCCGGGCCATTGGTCATCATTGAATTATGTCATTGAATGAATGAATGACATGATAAAACAAATCTTTTGAGTTCTTAGTTTGTCTGTATCAAAGTAATGTGCTAAGTTTCCCTAATTATGTTTATAGAACAGATAATCAAAAGATCCAATTTTCTCAGGATGAATATGTATAACTGATGTTTCAACTTTTCTCTAATTTAAGAAAATTTGTTGGAAAAGTTCCAATGTCTTTAAAAGTGATCTCAGGAAACAGTTTTTAGAAACGGACAGACCAACTGACAGAGACTCTGAGGGTAAATCTTTAATCATCCCTGGTTGTTACCAGAATATAAGCAAAATTCTTAAAGTAAGAGGAGATAACTCTTGAAATAAAGATGCTAGACTTAATAGAGATCATTCTTGGGAGCGATTTCCGCGATTTCTCGCATAAAAATCACCAAACTCTCAAAGAAATTTGTTAAATGAGAGAAAATCTCGCACGGCAATTTGACGTCGAATATGTCTTTTCACAATCTAAAGAATGCTAAAAATTCACACTAGAACTCCGCGAGTCTGATGTGTCGCCTTGTGAAATACATAGCTGTCACTTAGGCATTTTCTTCTGAAACACTGCTCTTACAATGTACATGTACCTAACCCGACATCAAGACCACTCCTTTATCTCTTAACATGACCATTTTTTAATATTTTTTTATTTTGGGTTTTACGTCACACCGACACAGTATTTGGCGACGTTCCAGCTTTTACTGGTGGAGGAAGACCTCAAGTGCCCCTCCGTGCATTATTTCAGGCACAAACGGGCACCTGAGTAGAACCAACGACACGACCAGTTAATTAAGGCCCGTTTGGTAAATGGTGTACATTTGTTAACCCCTAAATTTTCACACCTTGATATTGATGTGCATGTCCGTATATTGCTGAAATCCTTTTGACACTTGATGTAAACAACAATTGTCCCAGTTTTACAACATCCACTTTCGGTAGAGGTGAAGGTTAGTTTGTAGAAACCCGGAAATGATCGATAATTGCTAATTATTTCTAAATTTCACACCTTTAATTTCATGATTGTCGGATTAAAATGATAAAACACTAAACGGAAAACTTTTACAAAGTATTTTAACAGGTATTGCCGCTATCATTATCTATTTTTATTGGCGTACGCACCGAAGAGCGACGCCCTTATGGAATGAAATCAGATTTTGTAAAAGGGCAAATTCTCGAGCCTTTTTGTCAGCCATAATAGCCAAACATTCCGATTGGTATAAGTGTTTGATTATCAAAAATGAAATGTCGTGATATGTAAAATGAATAGCGAACTGGATAATTTCGCAATGTATACATATTCAAATGAAATTATCTTATCTGTCAATTAATCGCGCTCTTTTATTTTTATTAATCATTTTGTAGTACACAATGGGTTATTATGTGTGTTATTGCTTTACCTATAAATAGAATGATGACCTGAACATTGTGAAAGTCCGAAAATCTATTTATAGAGGTAGTTTAAGTTTACCGAAAAGGTCATTCGTGAAGCACCAAACTGGAGAATTTTGCAGGAAATGAAATGCAAACATATTAAAACAATTAATTGCAATCTTTAAGTAGGCAATTTTTACGAATTGTTTTATCATAGCAAGGCCGTCGTCGATGGTCCGGCCGGTCCGGCCTTGGCCGGACCAATATTTTGGCCAAAAATGAGTAAAAAAAACAACAACAAAAAAAAAACACACGCATCGCTGATTAGCAATTTGACACTTAACTGGCCCCTTATGCAATACGCGGTAACATACAAACATGACGCGAAGAAACAAATAAGCACTGTTAATTGACGGTATATTTTGGGGTCCTACAAAGTTAAATGTGAAGTTAATTGACACCGACTTGGCTTCGGACAGTGCACCGTATATACATGTATATATATGTGCATTATGAATATCTTGAACTAGTATGCTTGAATTCTCCGAGAACTTGATAATATTCTATTGATTGTACACGGCAACCGTTCAAAAGGCATATTTTTATCACATATCCGTGCCGTTTTTGCGACTCCGTGAAAATGGTATTGCACGGCCGAGCATATATTTTGACGTCATTTGCGTTATACGCCACTACTTGTTAGCGTTTTTCTATGGGTGTCAATGAAAAATGGTTGTTTTTCACTTCAAAAGGTACTTATTTTTGGTATGTAATAAACAGAATATTGAATTTGTGTAAGTTCATTACTGAATTTATTGAACTCGTTGAATAAAATATTATACTCGCCAGAGGCTCGCATAATATATTTCCATTCAAGTCCTAACATAAATTCAGTAATAAACTCATTCAATTACTCTATCACATAATTACAGTGCAGGATGTGTTCCGGCCTAAGTATTTTGAAGCAATCGATCTTGCCATGGCCAGTGTTAAAGAGAGATTTGACCAACCGAGATATCGCGTACTTCAGAACGTGTAGGATTTATTTATTAAGGCCGCACAACCTTTGAAGACTGTTCACTAGAAAACTTGGTTTTTGTTTGTGATTTATATGGCAACGATATTAACCGAGACATCTTACAGGTGCAGCTTCAGCTGCTACGTTCACATTTTGAAAAATCAGAAAATAGTACTGTTACTCTATCTGACGCTTTGAAATTTGTGTCAAAAAAATCGGTGCAAGAACAGAGGTCATTGTGTTGTTAAAGAATTTGTTAGTAATGCCTGCTGCTAATGCTACCAGTGAAAGGACATTCCCGGAGCTCAGAAGAATAAATGTAAAAATACACAGGAGATAATAAGAACGGCGAGTGCATTGTTGTAGAATAATGCACGCTTCGGGCCTTCTTTGTTTATATAGAAAAAATTCCGATAGTGTTAGAATGTTTATTTTTCATTCGCCAAATATCAATTACATGTATTCATCTTTTATGTTCACGACGCACTTAAATCTGTAAAAAAATCGTTGACATTTTACTATAACGTGTTCTAGCGACAGGCTGTATAATGTGCCAAATATATGGGAAAACGCCCCTAAGAACATCCTAGAATAAAAAAATTTCCTGGGTGCATGCCCCCGTACCCCCCTAGATTCTGGCTGAAATCTACCAAATTGGCCGCACCAATCACAAAATCGTGACGACGGGCCTGCATAGTATTATCATTCTTCGTCTGCAATTTTAACAGGAGTTGTTATGGGTTTATTGATAAGCATGTAAACACACTGATAGGTCAGACTAGGTCATTAAAATAGTAGATTGACCTCCCAAATAAATCAATTTACAGACTTTGTTCATTTTGACTATTATGTTGTATGTTCCAAAGAAAATACCACATGAAATTCTATCAAATAACAATTTTAATGATAATACATATATAGTATATATAAAGGGCAGTAACTCAAAAAATACGAAAAGCAGAGTACTAGCTTTTGTGCACTGCACTTCTTATCAATAAGTTCTATCAACCCATGAAGTTTCAAGTGATTTTATAAATTTTGATAAATTGCCAGGACAAAAATAAAGTATGAAAATTAACAAAGGGCAATAGCTAAAAAGATAAGAAGTGCTGAGTGTTCTTGTGCACTGCACTTCTTCTTATTGAGATCTATCTTCCTATGAAGTCCATAGCTTTTATACTTTAAGTAAAATGGCCCGGACAAAAATAGAGTATGAAAATTAACAAAGGGCAATAACTCACAAAAAAGAAGTACAAAGTACAGGTTCTTGTACACTGCACTTCTTCTTAATGAGATCTATCATCCTATGAAGTTTCAAGTCCATAGCTTTTATACTTTAGTTGAAATGGCCTGGACAGAAATAAAGTATGAAAACTAGAAATGTGTCCATAGGACACGGGTGCC